AAAAAAAAAAAAAAAAAATGCACACAGCAAAAAACATTCTGTAGGTTTGGTTCCCATATTCTCCCTTGAACCTGCAGTATTTCTGACCCATTTCCCTAACCCCAGAGCAAACCATGAACAGTCTCTTTACTAATGTCCAACCCTGAGCCTGCAAATGAGTAACCTTGATGAAGCACTAAAGCATTTTTCTCCACTTCAGTCATGGCCTGAAGATGCCTTACAGGCGGTTGCCTCCCGCTTCTTGGAAGACATTGAAATGTCAGTGGAGATACGGAATGGCTGTATCGACATGTGTAAGAGCTTCCACACCTCCACTATCGATTTATCCACATCCTTCTATAATGAACTGCAGAGATACAATTACGTGACTCCCACCTCTTACCTGGAGTTGATCTCCACCTTCAAGCTGCTGTTAGAGAAGAAAAGAAGGTAAAGGCGAAGTCTCATAGTTCTATGTAAGCAACAGTGGTTAAAATACTTGTGTCCAAGATGTTAAGTCTGAATGACTTCATCCACAAATATTTTGCAGGTAGAAGGCAGGTCTTATCCTTACATGTGGATGCACTGCCTGACGCATTATAAATGCTTACCTGTGTGCCCACCAGGTAAGACCCCAGGGTTCTTTGACAATGGTGCTGAGTGGACACCATGACAGAGTGATTTTTTTGGATCAGTAGTTAGACAATACATAAGCCTTATCTTTGTGTTCTAAACAACTGAGACCCAAGAGGCAACCACTTGATATACATGACTAGTTTTCCTTCTATAGTAAACTCCTGTGTGAAACTATCAGTGTGAAACATGCAGAGACTTAGGAGCTCTAGAGAGTCACAGTACTCACCTGTAATCCAAGGAGGAGGCAAGCTTGATGCCAGCCTAGGCAGTTTAGTTAGGCCCTGTCTCAAGAAAAAACAAAGGGTCAACATGAGATTTCAGAGAAGTTTTCATAAGTTTCTTTGGGTCTAAAAATGAATACTTAGTATGTATACTATAAAATTTTAAACCTTACATTAAGCTCCAAAGTTAAAAATTTAGAAAATGTTAGTGGTCTCTTAAGTTTGGTTAATATGTAGTCTCGTTCAAAAATTAAACATATTTTTGGACTGCATTTATCCTTTTGACATATTTTTATTTCTCTGATAAGCTATGTTTTAACAAATCAAACTTTCCTAGGTACTTGAATAATTTATGTTTAGCAAGTCAAAGTTAATCATAATTGTGAGCCTTAAGTTCTTTTAAATGTTTTAACATTTTCTATAAAATTCATGAGTTTTTTTAACCTAAAAACACATATCTTATATGACCCAAATATACAATATTTATACTGGAATTTCAAATTCATTTAAGCATTTAAAACTACACTTCAAACACCAACTGGATATAAGTTCCTTATAAAAATACTAATACTGTGAATTTTTTTGTAGTATATAAAACTGTATTTCTAGTTGTTTCTGAATCTTCTGATGGCCAGCTCACTATTTCAAGCATTTTGAAGTGTTGTTCTCATACCTGAAGGACATTCTCCACCCACATCCACAGTGGCCATTGCCCCCCCCAAGCTGGACTGTCCTGGTCACCTTGTGCACACCCCTATCAATCATCCCCTCAGTAACCTTTCCATCTGCTCAGTGAAATCTGAAACTCCCCCCAAACGCTGCTACGTGACTTGCCTGGATTTTATTATTTCTTTGGCTCTCAGGATAATTACTTTTCTGTGTAGATCTGATGCTCTTCTACTTAATGATGGACTTTTTCTTCTGTTCTTTTTCTTCATTTTCCTCTCCAGGAGGATTAAAATTCCTAGAGATTCTGATTAAATTTTGGCGATCACTGCTGGCCAAGGCTTTGATGTTGTGCTCACAATATTTAAAGTACTCTTAACTAAAAGCAAGATTATAATCGTGAGATCCAAACTTATAAGAAAGTCAGAAGTGCCCTGATTCTCTAGACATTTTCAGATACTCTTGTTTGTCTTGCGAATTTCATCTTTGTTTTTTCCTTTCAAATTAAAACATTTATTTTCCCAAATTCTCCTTTATCTTAACCAGAATTCCTGCCCAGTGGTCACTCTTCCCTTAGTGGTTAACACCTTAGATCCCATCTGCCAGGTGTCACTGACGGTGGGTCCTCAGATCACCGGCCAGGAGCCGGAGGCCGTGGGCGAGCTTGGTGTTGCTGCTGCTCTGGCGGGACCAAGACCTTTCCTGGGCTGGCTGCCCAAAACGGCACCTGAGCCAAACCCACGTACGAGCCAGCACTGGACGCCGAGCCCCTCAGCTCCATTTCTGTCAGGACTTCCGCTCAGGAAGATGGGATGTGTGACAAAATGCACCATGCCTCCCTCTGGCTTCTCCTCTCCTGCTGACAGATGTTTCACTGCCCTTCCGGTTCTCTTTTCCCACCCACAGTGGCTTCCTGCTCCACTCTGTGGTCTGCGGAGCATTCCTACATTGTGTTACCTTTTACCCAGAAACGCTGTGATGCACCCCGAATTCTAAAATGAAGCAAACATATAAAAAAAGACCATTTTCTCTTTAAGGAGAGAACATAGATAAATGCAGATAAGATCATTCATTGAAAAAGTTACATTGAAAAGTCTGTCAAAACATGATATTATTTCTCATCAGTCATTACTATATACTCATTCTGCACCAAAAAGTGTTGAGCTTTATTATCTATCATATCTGTCCCTTTTGTCTTAATAAAAAAAAAATTCCTCTTTTAAGGTAGAAAATACATCTTAAAAGCATTTTCACCTCAGGCAGCAATGCAAACAGTATATTTAAAATAGTGAAACACTGAAGTCTATTTAAAATAGTAATTATAAAATACAGTTTTAAGGAGGAATAGTGTTTTAGAATCAACTTACATGACGATTAATTTTAGAGACATGTGACTGACTTTGACGTGGAAGACGCCTTGCCTGGCGTCCGGTGCTTTCGCCCCTTTGAATTCATACGTTTAGATACTGCAGAACAAAAAGAGATAGACAGACAGTCTTCTGCTCCCTGCTGTGCACAGTCCTGTGTCGCAGAGTTCCTATTTTTGACAAACTGGCAGTGTGGAAAATCGTATGTACCTTTAATGTCGTCCCAAGACAGCCACAAGGCTCAAGGCCACATGAGCTCGGTCGCGGGATCAGCTCCTCACGACCTCATCTGACCTTTTTGCTTCCAGTGAGGTGATGAAGATGAAAAGGAGGTATGAGGTGGGCTTGGACAAGCTGGACTCCGCATCCTCTCAGGTGGCCACCATGCAGACGGAGCTGGAGGCCCTGCAGCCCCAGTTACGTGTGGCCAGCAAGGAGGTGGACGAGATGATGTTGATCATCGAGAAGGAGTCTATCGAAGTCGCCAAAACGGAAAAAGTGGTGAAAGCTGACGAAATCGTGGCCAACGATCAGGCCATGGCCGCCAAGGCCATCAAGGACGAGTGTGACGCGGACCTGGCCGGAGCCCTGCCCATCCTGGAGTCGGCGCTGTCCGCCCTGGACACCCTGACCGCGCAGGTGAGAGCCGCGCTCCCGCGCATAGGGAAGTGCAAGACATGCTGAAGGTGGCGAAGGGTCCCCTGGCTCCCAGACAGAGGAGCACAGGCGCCTAAGGCCCTTTCGGACAGGAAGAACGCCGCCCGGCAGTGCAGCCTGCCACAGAAGTGACAGCTCGTTCACGAGCTCTCGTTATTGGACCCAGCAGAGGCCCAAGACCCCCTGGGCTAGATCTGATCCAAGGCAAGGCTTTTCATGTTTGGATGCTTTGTGATTAGGGTTCCTCTCACTGTAGATGGACTGGACTGAAATATTCTACCAATGTTTGTCCCTTTTTTTTGGTGATATATAAAATAATGTCTTTTCTAATGATTTATTTTAGTAGCCTTAGATTTGATTAAATATATTTAGAAATAAGATGTAAAAAGGGAATATTTCGGCCTACAAAAGTAAAGGTAGATTTCTTTAGGAAACTTGACTCAACTTTTGAATGGGATAGAAAAGTATAAGACGCAGCCTCACGTATTTTCTGGAGGCCACTTTGCCAATATGCATCCAAAGCCCTAAAAATGAAAAATATAGCCTTTAGTTCAACATGGTGATTGTGCTGGGCATGGTGGTGCACGCCTGTAATCCCAACACTCAAGAGGCTGAGGCAGGAGGATTGCAGCAACTTCAAGGCCAGCCTGCACTACAAAGTGAGTTCAAGGGCATCTTGAACTACATAGTGAGACCCTGTCTCAAAAAAAAATAAAATAAAACAGATGACAATTATAATAACAAAAGTAGAATAAAGGAACATAGAAAAGGCCTTAAAATGGTGGATGCCTTTCTACTGGAATGACATGAAGACATTAAAAATGATGCTATCCATGTTTACTAGCCTGGAAGATTGTCCACCATATACTGCTATTTAAATAGAGCAGGTTTTAAAACAACATATGTCTATGTAAGATATAGACATAGAAAAAGATACAGAAGAATATATATAAAAATATGTATGTTAACTATATAGCGGGACTATAGGAGACTCTCAGGATTATGAAGCACCATTTTGTATGTAATTCTCTATATTTTTCTAATGTGTGTGATAGGTGGCTGTTACTTTTATAGTTTTTGAGAAGTTGTAAACTCTACCTTGTGATGTCCACCTCTGTCTGTGTTTCTGAAGTAGACCTTGTGCCATAAGTATCTCAGATAGGGCATCCTCCTATGAGTCTTTTGTTCTAATGTTTCCTTTGGGACAAGCTTGTCACCGTTTTGGACATACAGTAGTTTTGCTATTGCTGCTATTTCTCCCCAGTACGGTGAGTGTCTCTATCTTAAGACCTAGTTTGAAAACAGGGACAAATGAGTGTTAGTGTACAAGCCAGCGTGTCTTTTTCACATTGAAATGTCATTATTTCAAGGATATCACTGTGGTGAAGTCCATGAAGAGCCCGCCTGCGGGCGTCAAGCTCGTCATGGAAGCGATCTGCATCTTGAAAGGCATCAAAGCAGACAAAATCCCTGACCCGACAGGTTCAGGGAAGAAAATCGAGGATTTCTGGGGTCCAGCTAAGAGACTGCTGGGGGACATCCGGTTCCTACAGTCCCTGCATGAGTATGACAAGGACAACATTCCTCCAGCGTACATGAACATCATCAGGAAGAGTTACATCCCCAACCCTGATTTCGTCCCGGAAAAGATCAGAAACGCTTCCACGGCTGCAGAAGGGCTGTGCAAGTGGGTGATCGCGATGGACTCGTACGATAAGTGAGTATCTGCACGCCGCTGGCCCTGGTGCCCGTGTCCGGTCATTTGTACAATACCAGCTGAGCAGCTACCTACAGGACAAGCGTCTCAGAAGGGTCCAGCAGAATCCACCAGTGTTTACTTTCAACTAGAGGCAGGACTGTACTAAACATCTGAAAAAGTCGATGTTTCTTAAACTTTTTGAACTCAGGAATCCGTTACACTCTTAAAAATTATTGAAGACCCTCAGAAGCTTTTGATTATTTCCCCCATTAGAAATTAAAATGGAGAATTTTACGTTTATTTGATAATAACAATAAAATATTACATAGTAGTATAAATAACTTATTTTTTTAGAAATTTACATTTTTACCCTCCTCTCCCTGCAAAAGAAAAACAATTGTGGGAACAATGTGGTTTTATTATATTTTCCAAGTGTGTTTAGCATGTGGCTCAAGTAAGACAGCCGGACTCCCTCCCACAGCGGCTCCTGTTGCAGGGTAGCGTTGTGCTGTTTGGATTGAAGAACGTTAAGAAAATCCACACTGGGATCCAGGAGGACCAGGGACACCCTCAGAGATGCTTTGAAGGAGCCGATGTCTGTAGGGTCCCCGCGGTCTCCGGGCAATGCTCCGAGAGCCACAGGCGTAACGCATGTTCTTTTTTTTGTTTGTTTGTTTTTGTTTTTTTCTCCGGTACCAGGAACCGAACTCACGACCTTGCGCTTGCCAGGCAGGCACTTTGCCGCTGAGCTAAATCCCCAGCCCCGTAACGCATGTTCTTATGAGATGGGTGTTCTTGTCGCTATGCCATGTACAAAAAAGAGTATGCATGGATTAATTTCTAAAGTGCAACTGCTACAGCATGCCTTTTAAACTCACACCTAATTTAAATCATGATATGCTACAGATGCTTCAGATCATGATGTACTATTAATGAATTTTAATTTAATTTTGTATCATTTATTTAGAAGGATATGACTGACTGCTTTTTCTAGATACTGAAAAGAAAATGTAGATCTATCCTTTTCCATATATAATCCCTTTTATTACCACATACATATTTATAAGATAACTGTTTTGGTTGAGTGAACATTCTAGGATTTTTACTAAAAGGTAAAATGATAAAGATTAAATATTGCACTTGATCAGAATTAAGCTCTAACTGATTAAGCTATTGTCTGACATTGTAATACTCTGTGTGAATGTCTTGCTGTCCATTTGCAAAATCATAAAAATTCACTCTGGCAATATTTTAAATGTGAATAAGAAAGTTATTCATTTGAAAACACTGCATGTATTTAATAAGTACTTTGAGAGTCATTTCCCATGTCTGGGATTAGGTTAGCTTTGTGGATGAAATCTGGAATATTGAAATCAGAGTAGGTTCTGCAGAAAGAAGTGATTCGAGTCATAGTAAGGCTATAAGAAAAGTGAATTCAGAGACAGAAAATGCCCCACCATATCAAATGGATATTTAATTTTTCCAATTTTACTATTCCACAGAGTGGCAAAAATTGTCGCTCCCAAAAAGATCAAACTGGCCTCTGCCGAAGCGGAGCTGAAAGTGGCCATGGACGGGCTCCGGAAGAAGCAGGCGGCGCTGCAGGCTGTGCAGGACAAGCTGGCCCGGCTGCAGGACACGCTCGAGCTGAACAAACAGAAGAAGGCTGACCTGGAAAACCAGGTAGGCCTGAGGCAGACCAGGTGTGCGTGACACTCCAGGCCTGCGGCAGGTTTCCTGGAGGCCTGTTTTCCTGCTGGCAGCGCCCAAGGTGCATGGGCCACGTCTGCCCTTTGTTTGCGTGTGGCCCCGGAGCAAATAGTGTTGACAGCTTACACGGCTGTACAAGTACCTCCACAGAAGACACAATATTCTCAGTTTTGCCTTGTGTTTGGCTCCCAAAACCTAAAATATTTACTTTCTAGTCCTTTCCATTAAAAAAAAAAAGGTCAGTCCTTGCTCGAGATTACTTGTGCTAGATTTTGTAAATCTTATCATCTTGCAGTTAAGGAAATGGGACGCTGGAGCCCTGAGTGGCATAGGCTGCACAACAGTTAACAGCAGAGCTGAGATTAGCACTCAGTACTCAGTCACAACACAAAACAGAATTTCAAAACAAGATGATAGGAAATCTACAGTGGTTGTTGTATCACTCATTGTTATCTTCAAAGTAGTTGCTCCGATTACCAGATATAGGTATGCAAGATTGATCAAACAATTAAACACTAACTGTTCAATTATCTTAGCTATCTTGTGTGTGTGTGTGTATATATATTTTTCTTTCTTTCTTTCTTTCTTTCTTTCTTTCTTTCTTTCTTTCTTTTTCTTTCCTTCTTTCTTTCTTTTTCTCCTTTCCTTCATCCCAGTTCTTTCTTATTAAGCAGTTTCTTTTTTTCTTTTTGTCTTTGTCTTTGTTCTTTTCTCTTTAAAATAAAAGAAAAAAATACAATCACATGGCAGGAATGTTAAGACTAAAACCATTGCTCTAACTCAGTGATGGCGAAGCTTTGAGAGTTTTCAGTGGTAACAAACGGCCTGCTGCAGCCCGCGTGCCATAGGTTTGCCACCATCATCTAACTCACGCTCATACCGTTTACACAGGTTAATTGCTAATGTCTGATTGTGTTCAGAAAATAAGTGTCAAAGTATTTTATAGCCGTAAACATTTATTAAGTGCTTATGTACAGCAGTGCTCTTTTTCTTTATCTTTGAACTAATTTTATTTCAAAACTAACCATGATAACACAATTTCAACTTCTTCAGAGCTACTATTAAAAGCGTCTTGCCAGGTGCCGCTCTGCAGGAGCCCAGGTGATGATCTCCTTCATGCTCGGGACAGTCTTGTCGGGGAGGCAAGCTCTCCACACCATGTGGAGGAAACTAAGGGTTCAGCATCTTGCTGGTGGTCAGCCCAGCTTCTGATCACTGAGTGTAAAACTCGAGCCCAGGAATCCGTCTGGGCTCTCCCTTCCCGCAGCACCAGGTGGCCCATTTCTGAAGGACCTCTGGTGTAAGCTCTGCTTGCACAAAATAAGACATTGTCCTTGTCAGTTACGGGCATTGCTGAGTGACCGGTTTTAGTCTGAATAATATAACTGGTTGATGGATGTATAGCTGCTCACCATAAACATTTTTCAACTCTTCTGTATGTTTAAATTTTTTTATTTTGTTTATAACAAAACGTTGGAAAATTATGATATACAGTGAACACACATGTATGTTTATATCAAGTATCAACTTTTGGAGGAAAAGTTTTAGCTAAAACAGTTTTGCTTAGTAATTTCAAATGACCACTTATCATAGTCAAGGCCCAATTCAGCTAATTGTAAGCATTTCTGGAAAACATAAATGGAAAAGGGGAAATGACTAGAAAGGCAAAAATACATTTAGAGAGGGAAATTTAAGTTGAAAAAGTTTGAATTTGGAAGAATCAAAAATATTACCCATCATATGCCTTGTGGTTCTTTCAAACCTGTCTTTACTTAAGCTGATACTTTATATTAATCTAAAAGTTTGTACTTAATACAAATTTGTATAGTATTATGCAAAAACATAAGGCAAATTCTTGCTCCATAATCTAAATGTCTCTTTTTATTGATAATTGAATTCCTCTTTCCATGTAAATTATTTTCTTTCTGAATCACAAAATAAACACTACCTGCCTTCCTTCAAGAAAAAAACAATGCTAAAACTCCTAAAAATTAAATCAAAGTAATTCAGGTATCCAACCAGAATATTTCGATGGCATGGGTTGAGATGGATTTTCCCCAGATTTGCTGCCTTCCTCAGTATGCTCCACCCACCCACCCCTGTCTTACCACATTGCTTAATTACATATAATCAGGTTGGGCTGGTGGTTTTGTGCACAAAATAGGCTTTTATGTATTGATTGATATACTAATTTAAGGTTAATTGCAAGTATCTGAGTAGGTTAATGCCTTCAAAGACTGTGCATAATAAGAACAAATTGTTAAAAACTTTTAAGCATTTAATCTTTAAAATCATCATCCAAGCCAATCATAACTGTAGGCAAGAGATGTAGGGCAGAGGCAGGACAGAAGGGAGGGGATGTTGGCAGAATTGGGTGTGTTGTGCACGGGGCTGACGCTCCATGATGAATGAGGTTGTGAAGCAGTGTAAGAAATTAAAAATAAAATGAAATATTTGAAATGCATCTAGATTTTTGTCAGGAACACTGCACATCAAACCAGGGCTTCCTGCATGCTAGGCAAGTTCTGTGCTCCTGAGCCACGCTCCCAACTCTGATGGTTTAAAGCAGAGGAAAAGGATCTCTATAGGAGAGCTTTCTTGATTACTTACCTTTCAGTGTTTTATCCTGTAGAGCATGTCCTTAGTTATTCTCTGTATCCTATGATAAGTATTCATGATGGACCTCATGAATTGGATTGAAGTAGATAATCTTACTTTGAAAAATTACAAAATACCACGGGCTTTCCCATATCACAGTGACATATGTTGCATTTTTCTTTTAATTTTTAAAAAATTCCAGCTAAGGTTCTAATATACGTCAGAAAGAAACAAACAGGCCAGGTGTGGTGTCGCACACCTATAATCCCAGCACTTGGGAGGCTGAGGCAGGAAGATTACTGCGAGTTCTAAGCCAGCTTGGGCTTTGTGAGTGAGTTCAAGGCCAGCCAACTGCATTGTAAAACCCATCTCAAAGCAAAAGACCAAAAAAAAGAAAAAAAAATAGACAAAAGAAACAAATGAGCATGAAAGTTGTCAGAAACCGCTACTGGTTTCTGTTCATATACCCGCCTCCCATGACCCACAGCAGTATTTATCAAGCTTACCTTTAAACTGCAAGTTTAGTTTTTTCTTCCAAGTTCACACTAGATACAGGAAACTCTAGAAGTCATAAATAAAGACTGAAACAAGTTCCCCTTCTTCCTAAAATGTACCTAACTGAAATAGTTTTAACTTGTACATATAAATATATGTTATATCAATTTCTCTTATGCTATGCAAAATCCCAGTAAATATTTTCCTAATAGGGGTATGGGAAATTTGTTCTCTCAAATTGAAGGGTTTTTCCCTTTAAAAAAGATTTTAATAGCTCTAGTTAGAGAAATGTGTTCACAAAATAACAGTGGTACTATACTCTAGTCTACGTCAGTTATTTCTGTATGGAAACTTCAATAAAATCTGTTCATCACAGTCATAAAACACATAGAATCAACCCTGAAAAAATCAGAACGTACACAGAATAATTGCAGATGTGAATGTGTACAACTTCAAAATAACGTGCGCCCCTCTGAAAAATGCAGGCAATTAACAGAAAATGTAGATAAACTGTTGAGCTCAAGTTCAAGTCCTAAAGAACACTTAAAGTTTCTTTTTCTTATACTATTTTATTAAATAAATAATCCGGTCTAAACTGCTTGACTTGTGCTTGCTTCGGCGGCACATATTCTGAACTGCTTGATTATCATTTTCTTTTGCTCTCTACCGCAGACTGTAAGGTTGCTGTGTAAAGTTACAGTTTGATGTAGGAGGCATCCTATTATCAGCCTACAACTATATGTCCACACATTAATAGAAACAAAGCTATAGCGCTGGTCACAATTAGAATGCTCACGTGTGCTCAGGGAAACTACACAGAAAATATTTTAAAATATGAAAAGTTAGATATCTATTTTTTTGGCTGACCTATTTCTGCATGTAAAAACAGATTAGCTGATTTGTAACCTAAAATGCCTAATGCCACATGGTTGTTTGGTATAACAATGAGAAGGAAGATATAGTATAATAACACATAATGGTATCTTAAGTGGGTTAAAGGCATCCGGCAATCATTTTGCGTTGAAGTTGAACTCCACAAAGTTTTCTGAAAGAGGAAGTTGGGGTAGAAGTACATGAGTGCCTCTGAAGGTGAGGCTTGCAGGGTTGGGCACTTGCGCTCCCCCCGGGTGTTGACGCAGGCTGACTTCTGTTTCTGAGGTTGACTTGTGCAGCAAGAAGCTGGAACGGGCGGAGCAGCTGATCGGAGGCCTGGGCGGAGAGAAGACCCGCTGGAGCCACTCAGCCCTGGAGCTGGGGCAGCTCTACATCAACCTGACGGGCGACATCCTCATCTCCTCGGGAGTGGTGGCCTACCTGGGCGCCTTCACGTCCAACTACAGACAGGTGAGGGACGCACCGGCCCGCCCGGCCCCCTCCCGCCACAGCTTGGGCTGGCTGCGGGCCTTCTGGGTGTGGTTGGTTGGCTTGGGGTTTTTCCGGTAGGTACCAGGAGCAGCAGAATATATCTGAAGGACTCCTGGTGGTCTGTGTTAGTTATTCTATCCATTATTAGCGTGGTGGCCAGAAGAAGGTTGGTTTTCTCAGTGAACATTGCGCTCCTGAGGACTTTACAGAGTTTTCTGTTGTTGACCTCCAGCCTCATTTCCGTGTGTTTCTTTGAATGTTTTAAAGAACCAAACCAAGGAGTGGACAAATTTGTGCAAAGAACGAGATATACCCTGCTCCGATGAGTACTCACTGATGGGCACCCTGGGGGAGGCGGTGACGATTCGAGCCTGGAACATTGCCGGATTACCTTCCGACTCGTTTTCCATCGACAACGGGATCATCATCGTGTAAGGCAAATGCTGCTGTCACACAGGACCTTTATTAAATAATCAGTGGATTTATTTAGCTGCAAACCTTCCGATAATTGTAGGTGGTAAATGTTACAGTATTGAAAAATTTAGTTAGCTAGATTATAGATGAATATCTGCGTCATTTTGTTCATATTAAAATAGTTGAATACTGGAGAGCATGATAAGCAAACAAAACAAAATGGCTTTTGCTTAATTTTTAACTGAGTTTGAGAAAAACATTGCCATAAATAAATGAAGTCTAAATTTTCCTTCCCGGAGAATGTGGAGTTTGGTTTTTATTGATTCGTGGAATGTGCAGAAGAGGGCTGGTGATAGCGATTGTGTTGTTCCGAATTCTGTCCTAGTCCAGGGAGTGGGATGAGTTTTAATTCTCCCCTGTGTTTCTGGGCTCTCTGGGCTGTGAGGCAGTGGCCACCCTTCCTGGACTCTCCTGGCAAGAAGAAGGATCCCACAGAGACAGAGCGGTGACAGCCTGGTGCGCCTGTCCAGCCTCCTCCTCCTCCCACTCTCACTTCTCAGAAACCAGGGCCTCTTCCTGCCCCCATGTGCAGACAGTCGTCCCCTGTGTTATCTCCAAACTAGGCCAGTCTTCCCTGGGGTTACTACATTGGGACTAGCAGAGGTATTTTTATCATCTCTAGCAAATACTCAGCTCTGTGTTACCCAAGTTGTTAGTTTACTACTGAAAAAGTAACTGATGTGATGGTGCTCAGTTTAAAGTAAAAGTAAGGTATTGCTACAGCAAGCAGAAACACCACAATGTCACCCAGCATTTGGAGGCAGGTTTATTTAACGTTAATGGGCACTAACTTCGAAAAGAAAACATCAGGCCCTGATTCTTGGTAGTTTGGGGCTTGTATGGGATAAGCAAGCAGGAAGTACAGAAGCAGAGTATTTGGTGGTCTTGGATTGGTTCTTACAATATGCCTCATAGTGACCAGCCATTTCTAAGAGATAGAAGAAGCAGGAACTGTAACAGGAACTGTTACATGGGCAGCTAACAAACTGAAGTATACTGGCTGGGGGTGGCCTTTTCTGCTACAGTATAGATGCAAATTTTAGCTCACATTTGAAGAGGTTTTAATCCATTGTCTGCTGGGTCCAAGGCAGGGTGGTGTGGGAGACGGGTCTGGTGGAAGAGAAACAGCTCATGGCATGGCAGGCAGGAACGAAGGTGTGAGCAAGGGAAGAGGAGGGCTGTTTATATATACACCTCCAGACCATGCCCATGGTGACCCACCTCTTCCCACCAGGCTCCACCTCCCCATATCACGCCTGCCCAGCTATAAACCATCAGTAGACTGATCCGGTATTACACACCATGATCCAGTCACCTCTCCAAAGCCCCACCTATGAGTCCATGAAGCTTTGGGGGACCCTGTAGATGTAGACCATGCCAGGTGCTTTGGTCATTGTATTTTGGTAATCTTGCACTGAGAGGTTGGAGGGAGGAGGTGGAAAGGGACCAGGCAGAAGTATCTGGTGATCTCTTCTGGTCCTGCATTCCTCAGCGATGCTCATCTCCCAACAAGGGGGCCCAAGACTGAGTGCTCACTGAGGACTTGAGCCTGGGTTCGGTGTTTTTCACAGATTACCCATACTAGACAAATCCATAAAATCTGGGCAAGTTAAAACATAATTAACTTTTCGGACTACTGGTTAATTAGAATTGAAAATGTTTGTGATAACATCAAATATAATTGGATGGTAGCTGAATATGTCTCTGGTGAGGAATTAGGATTGTTTGCTTGGTGAGTAGATCAAACCTATGCCTGATATAAGCCTGCTTTAAAAAAAACCAAGTTTTTGTTTCACAGGAGAAAGATTAGATTTATATCAGGAGTTGTAATGTTGGAGGGCAACCCCCCCCTTCTCTTGCCTGCTTTGCTGTATTTGTGTGTGTGTGTAAAGAGGGAAATAGCAAAACCCTCTGAAATGCACCACTGCTGTGAATTCAAATTCTGTGTCCATCTGTATAGACCGCTGTGAGCAGGTACTGTCACGGTAGAAGTCTGCACTTATCAAAAACCTCCGAGAACACCAAATAGCAATCTTCTCTAGACAATAACAAAAGAATAAAGACTGTCAAAACTGGACACACCAAGTGTTGTGAAATTCAGTTTCCATTTGGGAAAATTGACTTCAAAGCTTTTGTGGATTTCTACTTGACGGAAGAAAAAAAACTGTATGGAGAAAAATGTTTTTCTTGTGAAAAAATGCAAAATAATAATGGAGAAGTAGTACGCAATAGAGTGCACATTCCCTTTGAGTTTGTGGATTATTTCTCTTCAAAGAATGAAGCTATTTAAACCAGTACTTGCCTCTTACAGCTTTCCACAATGGTTGTTGGTGTATCTTGTTCTAAAAACTAGTATTGCCTTTTGAGCATCTCCTTTGGAGTTTTCTAAATCTAATGTTATTTTATAACATTTAGAAACAAGTATTATAAGCTGAATTTTAAGCCCTTACAAGCTAATTTTTAAAAACAAATATTATAAGCTGAAGTCAACATTGTCCTGTCTTTGCATCAAAAAATTGTTGCACTGAGAGCATTGTTTGGTGAAAATGAGCTTGATAGCTGGGTGTGGTCACAAACATGTGCCTGTAATCCCCTGGGGAGGCTGAGGCAGGAGGGTTAGTTCAAGCCTAGACTGGGCAGTTTCTGGAGAGGCTGCCTCAAAATTTAAAATAGATAAATATATAAAAAGGGTTGGGGATGCTGGAAATGCAGCTCTGAGTGAAAGCCCTGTTTTTATCCCAGTAACACACACAAAGAAGGAATGAGGTGGCGGGGGAGGGGAGAGAGAGGGTCAGAAAGAGGGTTGATGTGGTTGTTAACTGGGTATAGAGCAACATCTGTTTGTATTCTCCTCCCGCCCCCCCCCTCTCTCTCTCTCACACACACACACACACACACACACACACACACAGTAGGGGGGCAAGGGGAGATATTTCAGTTTTGCTAGCACAATAATGTGTTGCAAACATTATTCTTTTTCTGTGAATTTTGCCTTTGCCTCTGTGGAAAATCAATTGTCCATATGCATGTGGGTCTGTTGCTGGATTTTTTTATTCTTTATGTCTGTTTTGACACAAGTACTATACCGTATTCCCTGGACTTTTGAAGCTTTCTGTTGAAGTCTTGGAGTCAGGTAGTAGTTTTACAGTTTATTCCTTTCCAAAAGTATTTTGCCTAGTTGTTCCCACCTAACATAAATTTTGGAGTCAGTTTTTAAATACTACAAAAGATCCTCCTGGAATTTTGATTGGGACTACGTTGTTACTACAGATCAATCTGGGAGGAATTGACCACTGAACATCTCTTCTAATTTATGAACATGGTATACCTCCCCATTTCTTTAGGTCTTTGATTCATACACAGCGTTTTTAAAAGACATCTTTGAATGCTATTGTGAATGGTGCTAACTTTTTTTTTTTTTACTAGTGTTAGGCATAATTAATGAGAGACCTCTTCCTGTTTTCTGAAAGAGATCTTTGCTTATGTACTTTGTACTTTGCAGCCTTTCAAAACCCCTTGAACCTTCCATGTAGATCCCTTGGGATAGTCCACGTAGATGAGCATTCTGTCAGCAAACAGTGACCATTTTGCTTCTTCCTCACCTGTGTGCCCTTCCTGTCTTTTCCTTGGTTTACTGCACTGACAGCATATCTGAGCAGGGTTAGTTAGATGGACACTGTTGCCTCCGCGATCGGCAGGGAAGCCAGCAGTCTCACCAGCACACGTGACTGTCAGACAGTTAGCATGGCCATACCTTCTCAGCGGGTGAAAGAAATTCCCTTTTAGTTTACTGAGGGCTTTTAGCATTAATGGATTCTAAATGTTGTCAAATGCTTTTTCCATATCTTCATTTTTTCCACATTGGTAGATCTACTAAGATGAGTTTATAGATTTTTATGTTGTGAATTTTTATGAATATGGTGAATTATAAGGATTGGTTTTTGAATGTTGAACCAGCCCTGCATTCTAAGAATAAAAAAAAAGAAAACCTGATTTTTCATTCAATTTGCTAATGTTTTATTGAAGATTTCTACATGAATGTTGATGAGGTATATTGCTCTGTTTTCTTTTATTGTAATGTCTCTGTGGCTTTGCTCTCGGGCTACTACTGGTCTAATAATGAGAATTGTGAAGACTTCTGTTTTCTGGAAGTGACTGTATAAAATTTAAAAATTATCCTCTCTATAAATGTCTGATAGACATGACCAAGAAATTATTTTCTTAGAATTTTCTTTGTTGAAAGAAAATGAATTCAATGATTAAAATAACAGTAGGTCTTATTCAGCTTGTGCATTTATTTTCAATTCTGAGTTTTAGTAGTTTCATTTTTCAAAAAATTTCATCAAAAATTTTCAAAAACTTTTTATCCATGTTATCAAATTTCTAGGTACAGAGTTGTTTGTGATAGTTCCTTACCATTCTTTTAATGTCTGTGGGGTCTATAAGGATAATCTCTGCTATCTTTCCTGATTTTCATATTTGTGTCTTACTTCTTTTTCTTGGAATATGTCTGCTAGTGTTTGATAAGTTTTGTTAATCCAATCTGGGAACAAGTATTTGGTTTCATTGTTTTTCTCCATTCTTTTTCTCTAAATTTCTTTGATTTCTGCTCTAGTACTTATTATTTCTTTTATTCTTCTTTCTCTAAGTATAAACTACTTTTTTTTCTGGTTTTCTAAGGTGGGGTATTAAGTTATTGATTTTATGTTTTTCTTTTTTAATCTGTGGAGATAATGTTATAAATTTTTCATCAAGTGTCTCCTTAACTACACTGTACACATTTTGATATGTTTTATTTGTAGTGCTGAGGTTAGAACCCACAGCCCCATGCATGGTACGCAAGCACTCTACTACTGAGTTACTCCCCAGCTCTGATATATTTTTACTTTTCATTGTTTTTTAAATATTCACCAATTTTCATGGAGACTTCCTCCTCTTTGATTCATGAGTTATTTAA